CTTTTCCCTTTGATGCAGGCAGTGAGGGATTATTAAATTGCATTTCATTATGATCTATCGGCTAGATGTTAGTCATGGCATATTTCGGAGTAAGCCTGAAGGAGGTTGAGATAACAGTGTCACTCCAAAGTCGAGGAAGCCAACGCGCAAACGCCAACAACCCCATCTCCTTTGTACTTATTGATCTGCCAGTATCTTGCTTTGCGCTGTGCCATCTCACTCTTTGCTGCTAGCATAGTCATTTTTAAAACCCAAAATAAAATTTGGGGGGTTAAGTTCCAGGGCTCTTGCCTTTGAAGGAGGATCAATTACCTGGCTGGTGATAGAGAGATCTTTTGCGTCTAGACTTTGTTTCTGACTCATGGTGATAATCTGGGCCGATCATTTAATCTCTCATTTTCTCCTATCTTCACTGCTTGGCAGCGTTCCTTTGTGTGGGACATATAATATTGAATTCCTAAAATAATACTCATTGTAGATCATCATATTACAGGTGAGAAGACATATGATCAAAGAGGTCATTAAATCTTAGTTTTTTATTTTGTTTTGTTTTTCAGTCTTTTGAAGATCCCTATTATTTTGTGAAGTCAGCATCCCTTCTGAAAACTGCTTCTCCCTTCTCTGTCCACATGGCTGTCAGGAGAGCAGTCACGTGACAGGATCTTATCCCCTGGGCTCTGAGCCTTTTCCTACAAAGTTGTATGGACTAGGAATGATGAGAACATTGATTCAGGGTATTTTTTTATTTGCCAAATGGTAACATGTAAAGCTTAGGAATGGTTGGTGGCCACTTTCCTGCCACAGACACTGCACGTAGGAGGGGAAGGCAGCCTGAGGCAGGGAGACTGGAAAGTAGGCATTCAAATCCTTGTCTCCAGTGTTCTGCCCATGCTGTGTCCTGATGGTTCCCCTTTTTGTTTAAGTTCAAACCTGGTGTTAGTCCCTTGCAGCCCCCCAAATTCCTAATCTTTACTCACTGCTGGTCATCTTTTTTTTTTTTTTTTAATTTAAATTCAGTTAACATATAATGTTTTATTGGTTTCAGAGGTAGAGGTCAGTGATTCATCAGTTGCATGTAAGACCCAATGCTCATTACATCATGTGCTCTCCTTCATGTCCATCCCCCAGTTACCCCATCCCTCCCATCCCACTCCTCTCAAAGCAACCCTCAGTTTGTTGCCTATGATTAAGAGTCTCTTATGGTTTAACTCCCTCTCTGATTTTGTCTTGTTTTATTTTTTTCCTCTCTTCCCCTCTGATTTTCTATTTTGTTTCTTAAATTCCACATATCACTGTTGGTCATCTTAAGTAGAACAAAAGGAGATAATGGATTTGGAATGGAAATTACTGACACATGAGGGTTTCATTCAAGGGTTGGTTTTTACTAGTTCCCTAAGTGTATTTGTTTAGTTTCTTCCTTCCTGATCTCAAAAACATCTGAAAAACAAATCTTATCTATTAAAAATGGTTGCATTAAAAAACAGCCAGAGTCATTCAAATAGCAAGTCATCCTGAATGCAACTGAAAATTAGTTTTTTGTTGTTGTTGTTGGCTAACAATGAGTTTTATTCAGTCATTTTTATCTCTTTTTTAAAAGATTTTAGTTATTTATTAGAAAGAGAGAACAAGCAGGGGGAGAGGCAAGGAGGCGGGGGGAGTCCAACATGTGGCTCGATCCCAGGACCCTGAGATCATGACCTGAGCTGAAGGCAGATGCTTGACCGACTGAGCCACCCAGGCACCCCATGTCATCTTTATTTCTTAAAGAACTCAATCATATGTACCATTTCCCAACTTTTCAACATATCAGTCAGGAAAGGGAAAAGGAAGGTCTTCGGAAGCATGAATCAGTGGTGTTCTCTATTGAAGTAATTAACAAAAGAAAAAGTTTACTACTACAAGCAGGGAGTACTTAAGGAGTTCTTGGGATTGACCCTAGAATAGAAAGAGATTTGGGATTATGTAATCCCCTGCTTTTCATGATACCTCAGTGTTTAAAATATTGCAGAAGTTTACACTTGGCTGTTGCAATCATGTCACCAACCATGTGGGTGACTACAAAGTCCCCTCTGCACACTTAGCAATTGTCTCGGTGAGCCTCTTCAGCCTGAGCACAATTTGAAATCCTGCCCCTTGACCCATGTTCATGAGTTGAATATGAATCTATATTGTGTGGCCACCTTGACCCTCAGACTTGACACAAGTGACAGTTTGCTCTCGGGGTTTGTGAAAGAAAAAAATGTCTTAATCCTGCCTAACAAAAACAATGTCTTAATACTACCCAACAGTAGTTTAAGACCTTAAATGCATTGATCAGGAACTGTATCAACATCGACATTAAAGTCTCAAAAAATATGGAGAGAAAAAAAGACATGTGCAGAGAATGGAGGTGAATATGAGGATAGTTTCCAACCAGGATGCCTAGGGACTCTGGGTTTACTAAGAATGTATTTCAAAATAACCAGTGAAATTGGTTGAACAAATGGCTTTGAAATATTTAGTTGTTTGAATGACTAAATCAGTCCATGAAATAATTTATCTTTTGTCTGCGGATATAGACCTACTTATTTTCCAGAAACTTTTCTTCTGTCTCATCCAAATTACTCTCCCATTGCTTTCGTCCATTTTTATACTTTTGCTCATAGAGAATGGCTACCTGGCTTCTCTTTGTCCTTCTGTTCAGTCTTCTTAGTTTTCCCCGATAAGTTCTAGATTTTATACTTTACTTACTCTTTTTTTTTTTTTTAGTAGCCAAACGTTACATTAGTTTCAGGTATACAATTTAGTGATTTGGCAAGTTTATACATTATGTTTTGCTCACCACAAGTATAGCTACCATCTGTCCTATTAAATCACTATTACAATATCATTGATTGCATTCCTTATGCTATGCTTTTTATTCTCATGACTTACTCATTCCATAACTGGAATCCCCTTTACCCATTTCACCCAACCCTGCCCCCCACCCCAGGCAACCATCAGTTTATTCTCTATATTTTACAGTTCTGAATCTGTTTTTCGTTTGTTGATTGATGGCTTGATTGACTGATTGATTGATGGAATCATATGGTATTTGTCCTTCTCAGGCTGACTTATTTCACATAGCATAATACCCTCTAAGTCTACCCATGTCACCTCAAATGGCATCATCTCATTCTTTTTTTATGGCTATGCAATATTCCGTTGTGTATTTATACCACATTTCCTTATCTGTTCACCTGTTGGTGGACACTTTGGTTGCTTCCATGTCTTGGCTATTACATTTAATACTTCAATAAATAAGGGGTGCGTATATCTTTTCAAGTTAATGTTTTCATTTTCTTCAGGTAAATATCCAATAGTAGAATTATTGGATCAAGTGATATTTCTATTTTTAATTTTTTAAAGAACTTCCATGCTGTTTTCCACAGTGGCTATGCCAGTTTACATTCCCACCAATAGTGCATGAGGGTTCCTTTTTCTTCATATTCTCTCCACTTGTTGTTTCTTGTATTTTTTATTTTAACCATTCCAACAAATATGAGGTGCTATCTCATTGTGATTTTGATTTCCACTTCCCTGATGAAGTGTGAAGGGGCGGGTTGGAGAAGGCCATCTCTATGGTGATGCTACCAAAGCCAGACCTCCAAAATAGAATAAACAAGAGTCTCCAAGCTGAGTGATGGGCTTAATTCTGGGAGCAGGCCAAGGCCACAGCTAGGTTGACAGAAAAGGCAAATGGGCCCATGGCATGTGGGATGAGTGTTGCCTGAGGAACACTGAGGGACAGTGAGGGAAGGAGGCTTGAAGGTAGGCTGGCATGTTTGAGGCCAAGGAAGCTGGTCTTAAGCCATTTATTTGTCTGTGTTAATCCTCTAAGATTTCTTTATACTGTCTCTGAAATTCAGACATCTAAACAGTCCCAAGATGGGGAAAAGAACATGGTTCCCAGGTTTCAAGACCTTTGGGTATCTTTCCCCTTCAGGCTTTCTGCGGTCTTGAGGACTGTTTCCAAAATTGGAGTATGGTAGGAAGGCCTCCCGGTTACACAACTAAGAGGCAGCCCCTTTAGAGCACAGATAGTCTTAAATATGAAAACATCAAGTTCCAACACCACTAGGTAAATTACTGCTTAATTTTGAGTATTTACAAACTAAAAATAAACCATTTCCTTGAGTGAAAACTTGTATTATGTTCCCATTATTTGTACTAATTTTAATGACAACAAAAGCTAAGGGTAGTATTTTCTACCAAGCAGAGAGAGTTAAAACAACATGATGTTTTTAGAATTTGTAGTTGTCTTGCTTAGCATATAAACAGGAAAACCAAAATTTTAGCATCCCCAATATTTCCCACAAAATTTGACATAAACGGGAAGCAACTGTCTTCTGTCCAATCACCAAAGATACTTATTTCTGGATCTCTAAGTCATTTGTTTAGCCCGATACATTTGCTGATAAGCAATTATAATAAAGCTTCTGGGCAGTTCTTTCTACCAGAGTATTAAAATATTCTAAGTATTTGAAGGTGTGAAAGAGAATGACTTCATCCCTCACTGGTTCAGATGGATGTCGAGGTCATGGCCGCTGTTAGCCAGCCCAGGAGTGTGTCCTACCATGTATACATTTGGGCTAAATGATAACACTTGGCTAAAATCCAGAGGTTTATAGATGCCTGAGTTAGCTTTCCATTAGGGAAATGCTTACAAGGAACTGGACCAGCATAAAAGACAAAGGGACAGAAAGAAAGCTTGAGCTGCATTACTGCCATCTTCTGCAAAATCAGACTTCAGCTTCTGTTTGGAACTAAAAACATCTCATGTTACTTCCTGAGAGACATGAACAATTGCACAAATACTATATTCTCTGGTAGTTTCCAGCATGATTCCATCCAAGGTTCTGTGACAAGCCTGCATGATAAAGTGATAAGTGTTTGGCTATTTTATGCATGTGTTTAACTTTGTCACTTTGCTTTGCAACACCGAGAATTCCCTAAATATCCACAGAAAGAGATAATTCAGCATTTGGCAGATCCAGCAAAATGCCTCCTTTATTCTCTAGCCTTACCTCATTCTTGCTCCCACAGTTTAGTTCAATAAGTTGTAAGTGCCTGAAATCATTCTTGGTGAATAATGCCATCAGACCACTCTGAAAATTTGTGGCTGAGAGGGGGACCCTCGTCATCAGCACGCACTTTGTCACTGAGACAGGGTAACCCATGGTTACTGAGCTCAGATCAGTTAAGGGGCAGAGAGCCCCCCCCCCTCCTCACTGCTCTATAAAAGAGACCCAGCAAAGGGACCCTACCAGCTTCTAGCTCTCAGCCTGGGCGAAGGTGTGGGAAGCAAAGCCTGAGACCTTCAGAGCCAAGCAGACCAGCTGCAGAAGCCAGGCCAGCATGTCTCCTTCTTTCAAACTTCAATATCACTTCGTTCTGATCTTCCTGATGGCTCTAAGAGGGGAGAACCGGTACCTAGAGGTGAGATATCTCCAGACTGACCCCATCACATCTTTTGTGTGTGTGTGTGTGTGTGTGTGTGTGTGTGTGTGTGTGTGTGTGTCCAGCCATGGGGGGTGGATAAGCTACGTTTGTTGGGATTAGCTCTTTCTTCCCTGTCTTTTGCCCCTTCCTTCTCCTGGTTTCCCCTTGGCTGGTCTTCCTCCCTGCCTCTTGGCCCCTGAGGATGCCCTGGTCCTTCCCTTGGTCCCTGGGGATGCCCTGGTCTGATGGAAAGGATCTAAGACCTTTTCTTCTTTGGACGCGGGAGACGTTGATTCTCTTTGCTGTGGGGCAGATCGAGGGCCCTGCTGCCAGCCCCCTTTCCCACCTCTCGAACTTCTCCCGACTGACTCATTTTCTTTGCCAGCTGCGGGAAGCGACGGACCACGACCCTTTCCTGCTCTTCGGCGCCAACCTGAAGCGGGAGCTGGCGGGGGAGCCTCTGTACCGCCGCGCTCTGCGTGAGTCCGAGCTGCCGGCGCGCGTCCGCGGGCAGCGGGGAGGTGGCGAGCTTGGGCTCTGCGCCCGGGCAGGAGGCTCCGGGCATCGCCGGGGGTGGGGTGGAATGCGAGTCCCATCTCGGGGTCCCGCTGGAGCCGGAGGCACGCCGGTGGGGGTCGGGGAGTCCGGCGCTGGGCGCTGCAGACCGGGGAACTGGGCACGTGAGACGGGCTGCCCGGGGCCGGCGCCTCCGGGGCTGCAGCCCCCGCACCCCTGACGCCCTCCCGCAGGGTGCCTGGACATGCTGAGCCTCCCGGGCCAGTTCACCTTCACCGCCGACCGGCCGCAGCTGCACTGCGCCGCCTTCCTCATCGCCGAGCCCGAGGAGTTCATCACCATTCACTATGACCTGGTCTCCATCGACTGTCAGGGCGGCGACTTCCTGAAGGTGAGGCCACCCGCCAGCGCCTGCCGCGGGGGCCCCGAAGGGGGACCGGTCGGGATGCGGTGCCCAGCGTGGGGGTGCAGGGAGGGGAGCTCGTTCCGGAGTGGCAGAGGCGTCTCCCAGACGGCCACGCGGAGCGAACCTCGCCCCGCACCCGAGGGTCTCCCGCCTCGCCGGTCGCAGGGCTTTAAATTTCCCCCGGTGCGCTCCCGGGAGTCCGCGCTTGCAAAGACTTGAACTCGCGGCGTGACGCGCTGTGTGAGATGAAAACTGATACAAACTGCCTGCCCCGAAGCTTGGGGCCACCTGGAGGGCCAGCCCAGCTTAGAAGGCCGGCCCGCGTCTGTGCGGGGCATTCCAGGCTTACGCAGGTCGTCCTCAATGCCGGGGTGACCCGGTTTGGAAGCAGGAGGGCCCTGGAGGCTGGGACGGAGGCTGAGAGGGGGTCTGAGGCCGTTGGGAGGCGAGGACGAGTCCCCCAACCTCACCCCATCCCCAGTCCTCAAGGGTCTCCGTGAGTCTGACCCGTCAGCTACTCAGTCCCATTACGATGCTCATGATTAGAACCTCCCAGGTGGAATTATTTTGGAATCTGGCAAACTCCTTAAAAGACGTCTGGGTCATGAAGCCATTTGTAGCTGGTGATTTTGCTAATGTGAACTCGGTTGGACTCTTTTAGTTGGAGGAGACCTGTGGTGATTTGGGGGAGTACTGTCAGTAGACCCTGACCTTTTATCTAATCGCAAACTTTAACCACAGTGAAGGAAAAGAAGTCATTGCTGTCTGAATGTTCAAGTAGTTCTTGTTAGTTTAATATGAAATAAGTGTTACAAAATGAGGGAAATGGGCACATTACAGCCCTTGACAAGTAGGTAAAGTTGCTACTCCAGTTTTTTTTTTCCCTTTTGCTAGTTTTGAGATATTTTATTAATATATTGAGGTGGAGAAGGCGAAGACGAGCTGAAACCCAAATTATGCTTGTGTGGAATTTTTCTGAAAATGGGATGTGTGGGAAATGTGACCAAGATAAAAATGTATATTGTCTATAGTTTCATTTACCAAGGAGGCCGAAATTATAGAGTATAGTAAAGTTTACTTACTTTGGATTCTTTAAGGTTTATGAAGAAAAAAATCATTATTAGTAATACTTGCAGACCACCTTCATGGTCAGAATATATATATAGATGGAAAACAAGGGGGCAGGGAAGTGCAGGCTGTCAGTCATTCACTTACACCGGAAGACTCCTTGCTAGGGAACTCCCCCGCCCCCCTTTTTAACACAGTGGTGACTTCAGGAGTTGATAGAAAAGATCACCTATGTCTGTGTTTTTTGTCGGAAGGTATTTGATGGTTGGATTCTCAAGGGGGAGAAGTTCCCCAGTTCCCAGGATCATCCTCTCCCCACAACTGAGCGGTACATAGATTTCTGTGACAGTGGTCTAAGCAGAAGGAGCATCAGATCTTCCCAGAATGTGGCCATGATCTTCTTCCGGGTTCATGAACCAGGAAATGGATTCACCTTCAGCATAAAGACAGATCCCAACCTCTTTCGTAAGTGGACTCCCTCTCTTCCCGGTGGGAAGACAGACCTTGGATGGAGTGTCAGGTCTGCTTTTCAAAGGTAGTGTGACTGCACCGGCCTTAAGAAATTTGAAGTGAGGAATGATTTGAATGGAAATTCTTTTGCCATTAGAAATGACCTAAAGGATATTTCCTATTCATTACTCTGAAAATCAATTCAGTTTTTAGGAGGTATTGGCAAGTAGGTAGGATATTGATTTTTAGTAGGTAAAATTTTATTTTTTTTCTTTAGTCTTTTTCTGATCTTCGGAGGCACTACAATGGATTCAGTGACCAACTCTGAGTCATTCCATTAATCTGGAATTAGCTTGAGGAATCAGATCTGAAGTTGCCATCTTAGAGATATTTAGGCAAAGGTTCTATCTGGGATGTGATAGACAGATTTCATGTTCTAAGCAGAGGGTTGGACTGAAGGACTTCTACATTGCTTTCTGATTCTGAGCCCACCACTCTAACTTAATTCATTTCTGTTGGATACCCACATAGATGCTATAAAGCTGAACAGCCCAGGCCTAAAACGTTATTCTAATCAAAATGAGTTCGTTCATCTGCTTATATTTTTTTAAGTCAGGAAAAGAAAAAAAATTGCTCATTTTTGGCTGCATACGATTGTATTAACACTTCAAATGGTGGAAGAAAAGGGTCTAATCTGCCAAAGAATAAGGTAGTGACTTACCTTCCAATTTTTATTTTTTAAAAAAGAAGCCTCCAAAAGTCCATTTTTGAGGACTGGAGCAGAATAACCCTAGAAAGCAACATGAAATGTTTCTCCTATATTTTTATGGTTAGAAATCAGAAATCTTCTAGAATCACCGAGGGATTTCAGTTCCTTTTGGAATTAAGTATAATTTAAATTTAAAATTAATTTAATTTAAATTTAAAATTAAGTGTAAATTAAACATAGGAATGAAGAATTCTGACCTATTCTGATCAATTAGAAATCTTTGGCCCAGGATCGGCAAAACTCTGATACTTCCAGTTTCATAGTTAAGAGAATAAATGTATTATAAGTCTATATTTGAGATACAAAATAAATCAGAAAGTCTTATGATAAAGTTAAACATTAATACTTTACCTTTAAAAGTATTTTACCTTTTAGTCAATTTATCACTTAACACCCAGGAAATATTTATTCAGACATAAACTTGCTTTCTATTTTTCTCAGCCTATTTTGTAGCTATTTTTTAATTTATTGACTTCATTATTTTAAAAATAACACTACAGTTCCAAGTTCAGTGAACGTAGGTTTCAGGCAGGCAGGGTTTGACTTCTGGCCTCACCTTTGAGTTTTTTTCCTTTCAGATTTACAGCTCAAATTTGGACACTAGTTAATGAAGTGTTTCTAGAACTTCTACTAGCTAGTGTTGTTTGACTGATTATTAATTTATGTCTGGTTATTAATTTATTGTTGTAAACAAGGTAACTCCTTGAGACTGGGATCAGAAGCCCCCTTGCCACCTAGGACCTTCCAACAATGTCCATACCTCCCTGGTGACTTTTATCCCTTCGACTCCTTCCCGACTCCAAACTGCCCTTGTGATATCTATTCTTGTCCAGCCCACAAGGGCCCTAGACCATGAATAGGAGCCTAGAATAAGGATAGGATAAACTTCTATGAACACCCAGCATACCAAATAGTGAAAAATGTGACTTTGTTTTTCCACAAAGCCTGCAATGCGATCTCCCAGACCCCTAGTGGAAGGTTTACCCTGGTCGTCCCACATTCGCGTCGAAACTGCAGCTTCTCCATAATTTATCCCGTGGTCATCAAAATATCAGATCTCACCCTGGGACACTTACATGGTCTGCAGTTCAAGGTAAGTTGCTTTCTTACTTCCCAGTCATTTACTAAGGCCACAGCTTTATCAGAGGAGGAGGAAGCATTCAGGGCAAACACAGACATTAGCGAAGTGCAAGAACATATCCTTCTGTTGACTCTCAGGCCCTCATGCGCTTTGCCCTCACTGCTTTGATGAGAGCCCCCTTCTATTTCCCTTACGCTGCATGTTGAGTGCTCAGGTGCCCCTTCCGATTACTTGACTACTTCTCTTGTGATGTAAGAAATGTTTTCAGTTAGGAAAGTTGTGGCATATAATTACAATTGAACTCTCTTGTACTTGCCTCTTTTACAAAAATTCTCTCCTAGCAGAACCTAGTGTGAGTCATCTACACAGCTGTTTTTCTGATTATTGGAATTTTTTATCACATGAAGGAAGTATCTCAGTGACAGAACTGTGTGATGAAGGAATGCTAAGTGTAGCATAAAATACAAAATTGGATTTTTTATATTACAAAATACAGTAAAGTTTTGAAGATTTTTTAAAATTATTTTTTACATTTAAAAAAAAAGATTTTATTTATTTGTCAGGGTGGTGAGGGGGAGAAAGAAAGTGAGCACAAGCAGAGGAACAGCAGGCAGAGGGAGAAGCAGGTTCCCCACTGAGTAAGGAGCCCCACGCAGACCTGGATCCCAGGACCCCGGGATCATGACCTGAGCCAGGAAGGCAGACACTTAACCAACTGAGCCACCCAGGCGCCCCTTTTTTTACATCACATTTAATTAAATATATTTTGTATGAAAATATTAGTTGAGAATCTCCATCAATCTGTATTTCCATGAACTTCTGTATGGACTTTACAATTAATGCTGAGCTTGACCACATTTTGGGGGGCAAGGGAGAGCATTGCTGGCTTCTTCGCTCTGAGTCATTCTCATTTCCTTTCACTTTCCCATATTCCTAGGGTAAGATAGCTCATATATTTGCTGACATCAAAGACAGTCATTGTTCCTAATCAGGCAGATTTCGGTGAAAACCAAACAAACAGGACCAGCACTGAAAAAAGGTGTATATCTAATTTCCAATAAGCCCTAATTTCATGGGCCAGTGCCTTTTTTTTTTTTTTTTTTTTTTTTGGTTGGGCCTTAGTGGAAGAAAATAATCCTTTGATAAATACCAGAATAAGCAGATGTCTTTGGCATAGCCCTCTTTTTTTTTTTTTTTTTAAGATTTTATTTACTTATTTGATGAAGAGAGATCACAAGGAGGCAGAGAGGCAGGCAGAGAGGGAGGGGGAAGCAGGCTCCCGCTGAGCAGAGAGCCCGATGCGGGGCTCCATCCCAGGACCCTGAGATCTTGACGTGAGCCGAAGGCAGAGGCTTAACCCACTGAGCCACCCAGGCACCCCTGGTATAGCCCTCTTGGCCTGAGATTGTATGCCTGTCTTGATCTATACCTCAGAAGATGGCAAGCACAATTCCAGGTTGGGAGATCTGCACTTCAGTTGTTCTTGGCTGTGAGTAGTAATCTTGGTGTTTCCGCTTGAAAACCTGTTGAAGTCTGCAGTGTTCTAGGCATCTGTTCTTTTACAAAATAATTTTTGAGGTCTTCCTATGTCCAAGGCACTATTCTAGATGCTGGAAATGAGCAGGGAGCAGCACACTCCTGCTCACAAAAAACCTGCATTCTTGTGGGTTGAGATAAGAAGAAGTGTAATGCATTCAGAATAGTGATGAGTGCCCAACAGAAAATGAGGCAGAGTGCTGCGATCCACAAGGGAGTAGAGAGAGGGGCGGGGAGCTCCTCAAGGTAAGGTGGTCAGGGAAGAAAACCTCTGAGAAGGAGACGTTTAGGGTAAAATGTGAGTGATAGGTAGGAAGGACCCAGCAGCCACTGGAAAAGCCTGGAACACAGAGGACAGTAATGCAGAGACTCAGAGGGAGTAATGGGCTTGCTGGGTCCCAGAAATAGAAAGAAAGGTGGAGCAGGGGGATATTGGACAGCATCAAGGAGAAGGGCAGAGCCAGGGTGTGGAGAGCCTAGCAGGGCATATAGAAGGAGTCTGGGTTTATTCTAAGTGCAGTGGGAAACCACTGAAGGGGTGTAGGCAGGAAAGTGACATAATCCATTTGATTATGCTCAGGTCCAGTGAAGGTGGTTGGGAATTGCTGATCTTGTGACCACATTAATTAATGAAGTCCATGGAGGGAGGGAGAGTATTACCTAAAGGCCATTCTGGCTGGTGAATGGGCTGTGGGGGCCAGAGTGGTACAGGGAGGGCCATTGTCACAGTTTAGGCAAGAGAAGGTAGTGGCTTAGTCCAGGTAGCCAGAACCTCAACAGAGAACTCTAGGGGCTCACTACTGAGGAGCTGAACACAGCAGGGTAGGGTAGTACTTCTCATTCCTAAGACTAGCTGAGAGGTTTGGGAAGAGCAGAGTAAAGTTATTGAACATCAAGGAACAGGTGTGTTCAACTTCTTTGTTTCTGCTTGGTTCCCCTCATTTTAGCTCCTACTTCTTCCCCACTTCCTTACTTCTCATTTTTCTCTCTGGGGTCTGCCTTTCCCCTTCACCACTTCATACTGAAATTTAGAACCTGAAGAACGTAGTGGAAAGTTTAGTCTTAAGGGATGTTCCCCCTGGACATCCTCTCCTGAAGGGAAAGACAATTAAGATTTTTTTCCCCTTCATCTCTCATTCAACTCTTCATACAAGAACATAAGCCCTGTACACAGGAGGGCTAATTGAGCCTCTGTTTCATTATTGAATGAAATTATGTGTAGAGCATCTAAGCATAGGAACCAGGATATAGTAGGCACTTAAAAAATGTATGTCCCCACCTCCTTCCTTGTATTAGCCAAACAGTTGGTATTATATTACTTCCTAATTTGTTGTCCTGTTCTAGTTGCTTTTCAGTGTCTTCTAGATGGTTGAATGTGTGTGTTTATGCATGTGTGTGTGTTTAACATTTTCTATTTTATTTTTTAAATATTTTGTTTATTTGAGAGAGAGAGAGAGCAAGAGAGAGCACAAGCAGGTGGAGGGGCAGAGGGAAAGGGAGGAGAAGTCTCCCTGTTGAGCAGGGAGCCTGACATGGGAATTGATCCCAGAACCCTGAGCCGAAGGCAGAAGCTTAATGGACTGAGCCATCCAGGCGCCCCTAACATTTTCTATTTTACTTTTTTAAAAGATTTTATTTATTAATTTGATAGAGAATGAGAGAGAGCAAGCATGAGGGGGGGAAGGTCAGCGGGAGAAGCAGACCCCCTGCTGAGCAGGAAGCCCAATGCAGAACTTAATATGGGACTCGATCCTGGGACTCCAGGATCATGAGCTGAGCCAAAGGCAGTCGCTCAAGCAACTGAGCCACCCAGGAGCCCTACATTTTCTCTTTTTAGATGTTGTTCCCTATGTGGCAGGGTCTGCCTGGTTCACCTCTGTGCACCTTGCCACTCTGCACTAGATCTCTCAATAGTATGTCTCATCGAAGAAGACGATCACAGGCAAAACTGACTGTAATTTTGCGGAATAGTGCAAGAGGAAAACATGTGGGCCCTTATTTTAGAGTTATTAGGAACTTCAAGTGACAGCAGAGCTTTAAGCCAAGCACAGGACCCTTGTAAGTGTGGGCCCTGTGAGCACAGGGGACCATGCCGACAAGGCCAGCAGACCTGATCACAGAAGATGGATGACCCAAGGGGTAACCTCTGAGAGTGGCTGCTTCATTTGTGTGGGGAAGTGAAGTGCAGGAATTGCCACGGACAAGGCAATGTGGAAAGGATGAAGGGAAGTGGAAAACAGTTACAGTGGATTGCATCCTGGAATACCTTCCGGTTTGGAGTAGCTTGAAATAAATTTGTTTTAGTTGGGAGGAGAAAGACACTGGTAGTTCGATCTACCTTGACCTCCAAAGGAGGGTTCTTTTCCTTCTTTAATATTTTTAGAACTAATCTAAATGCCCATTAGGAGAAATGATAAGGATTGTCCCAAGAGCAGGAAAGGTCCTTTCTAAAGAAGAGGAAAAGAGGTGAGTTGAAGGAAGAACTGGTATGAAAGCCCTATTTATAAATATGGACTGCATATATTAAGAAATTCAAATAATTCCATATGTATGTGCAGATGATTTAAAAAGTAAAGCATTTTCAGATTCAATTTTGACTCATTTTATGTGGAGTTTACAGATTCCCATTTCATCATTCTGGTCCTTGAGATTATAATATATCTTTTTTAAATGCACACACATTTAAAGAAAGCGATTACTCAACTCATTTAGAAGAGCAGTTCTTATGATTTTGTTCCTTAGAGATGTCTTTTCATTTCCGGAGTCCCGGATGTTCAATGAAACGGCACCGCCAACATGGCAATGGCTGATTGAGGGAATTCATCAATGTGTGGCTGGTCAAATGGTTTGACTTCTGTAATTGGTTGAAATATATCTTTCTCTGCTGCTTTATTCTCTTAGAACCCCTCAGCAGGTTGTGGGGGAATAGGAGATTTTGTGGAGCTGCTGGGAGGACCTGGACTGGACCCCTCCAAGATGATGCCTTTGGCTGACCTCTGCTATTCGTTTCATGGCCCTGGTGAGATATTTCTTTGATTATCATTTATGAGCCTGTCAAGATTCCTTTAATAAAACTTGATACTCCCTCAAATAGAACACCTCAGATTTTTTATACATGGGAAGGCAAGTTCGACCCCAAAAACTTGCATTTTGCACTTTGAGCCAATGTAAGGATTTTTATATTTGAATATATGTATGGTATCGAGAAGGCATTAGCAAAATACCTGACACTGGGAGAGGAACCTCTAAAGAGAGATGGGTGCATGTTTAAAGTTGACCCTAAGAAAACCATGAAAATGACAATTTTTATGTTCTGTGCTCTTTCTACCTTCTTAAAGGTGCCTGCTTTCATCCTCTAGAGACCAACAAGTTTACTAACTGAAAACTATGCTTCAAATAGATGTACCACCAATTAGTAGGAGTATAATAATAAAGCAATATCTTTTTAAAATAATGGAGCAATAGATAACTAAATAACTTTTCCACATATGTATATGTGTGTATTATTCGTAGTACATACATTCAAAAGTGTTATGCTTTATTAGACATTCTCAGAACTGCTGAATGTCCCCAATGTCTAAGGGCAAAGCCGGCCTCTGAAACTGAAAAACGGTCACTGGTAATAAAAGACCAGTTTAATACACAGCATGCCAAGCAGGCCCTGATATTCTTTGTGGGGGATCAGTGAAGGTTTTCCATTGGTTCATGGTCACGTGGGGTGAGGGAGGCTGGGAATTGCTGGTTTAAACTGTGAGTACATGTGGCTTGGCTTGCCTCTCACTGTGTTCTCTGAAGCACTGGATCCTTCCATGCTGGAGGGTACCTGCGAGGAGATGCATTTGCTCTGGGTAAGAAGAGTAGATTAAGGTCTGAAGAATGCTCTTGCCTTAAAATTTAGGTAACTGAAGGCATAGGAATTTTGGTGCAGTTATGTCACATAATTAAATCAGGTGCACAGTAACAAAGGAAATGGAGCATGTTACATATGTCGAAGTTTAGAGTGAGAACAGAAAAAGAATAACCTTCCAAATCATTTAAAGAAAATTAAATTTGGACCTGCTCATAGAAGCTTAACCTAGACTCCCAGGTTCTTATATAAAAGTAATTATAGAGTTTATATTTATATTATAATGTCTCTGAATTGACTTTTACCTCAGGTAAGTATCTGGCTGTTTTACTTCCTCTGAACCCAGGCACAGGTTTGTGAAGTAACTGTTATGCAATAGTAATGCTAGTGTTCCTCGGGATGCAGGCCTGACAGAGACAAGGGGCCGGGGAGCAGAAGACAGACAAAATTAAAACAGCAGAAAAAATTATTGTTGGGCAGATAAATCTTACATCTGGAACCAGCTTGAGGGGCACCTGGGTGGCTCAGTCGTTAAGTAGCTGCTTTTGGTTCAGATCATGATCCCAGGGTCCTGGGATTGAGCCCAGTTCTGGGATCGAGTCCTCTGCTCAGCGGGAAGCCTGCTTCTCCCTCTCCCACTCCTCCTGCTTGTGTCTCCTCTCTTGCTGTGTCTCTCTCTGTCAAATAACAATAGAACAAAAATAAGTATTTTAGTGTATATCTAAACTATGCAAATGATTTTTTGGTTACATGTAAACAAGGTTATTATCTAGGCTCAGAAAATGATAAACAGGTGATATTTCTTTAGTCAACACAAAATCCAGCAGTACACTCCATCCTCTATCCCTGCCCACTAAATGCCACTTGCATCCTCAGATAAGGACAACCAAAAATTGCCCCTGCAAATTTCCAACCTGTCCCTAGAGGGCGGTACTGTTCCTGCTGAGACCCCTGAACTACCGCAGAAGTGCAGAGTAGTAGACAGCCTGCTTCTCTTCAATGCCTTTACTGAGGAAGTCTTGCAGGTAGGAAGGAGAACATGAAAAGTGCAGAGACATCTTATTGTCTCTGTTGAATAACAAAAATTCAACTGAATAGATTTTAAAGATCTCACTGGCTTTATTAATCAATTTATGAATCGGGCAGCATTCCTTCTAGCAGGCAGAGGGGACTCCAAGGCATTGTACCAAATGGAAGGTTTTTATAGAAGGGGGGGGGGAGCGTGGGCAAGAAATTTGGCAAAAGAAGAAGATTGTTCCAGACAAGGCCACTTTCCCTTAGGGGGAAAAGCAAGGTGTCTTGTCATGCGGATTGCCTCATCTTCCTTTTGTGGGATGCAGAGGGCCCCTGTAGCTGACTCATTGACAGGATAGAAAAAATCCTGACTGACTGATTAAGGCTACCTTTGGGGGTGGGGGGAATGTTGAAATTACTACTAGATTAGGTATGAAGCCCCAGTTTCATACCCTGGTCTAAAGGACACCATTTTGGGCTTATGATTTTCTGTTTCTTTCCCCCTGTGATTTTCTTAACTACTCTTTCCAGCCAGTTTTATTTGGCTAACAAATGTTTTTGCACATGAGGAAACCTGACTTCACTTTCGGTATTCTACAATTAATTATATATTATAATAAAAATGAAAACAGAACGTTTCACCTGATGGCAGACGCATGGCTTGCGTATGTGAGAGGAAGCTACATCCCCTTGCTTTCCTTGTGTTTAAATGATCTTGTCGATAGAATGGTTTGTATGGTTTCTAACCTGCAGGGAACCTTTTACTTTTTTCATGAATTGTAGCCCAAATGAAAATCGGCTGTGACAACACGGTGGTGCGCATGGTGTCCAGTGGAAAGCACATAAATCGTGTGACTTTTGAGTACCGCCAGCTGGAACCATATGAACTGGAAAACCCAAGTGGGAACAGTATCCAAGAAATCTGTTTGTCTAGTCTTTGAATAACCAACCCCAGTGATTTACATGCTGCTAATTAAGTGAGTTCTTAATGGCTATTGTATATGATTTTGATGACTAGCTAGTTAAAAGCCTTTCATACCAGTCAGTATTTCCAGGCTTGAGCACACATTAGACACATACACACCACACACACACACACACACACACACACGCAGACACCCACTGTGTGCACAAATGTGCATTAATTTTTGTAGCTTGCTTCTTTTTCATTATAATATATGGATGACCATGTGGTGGCAACTAGCCCCCCTTTGGTAGAAAAACAGTTTTCTTTAATTCTTTGGTATGCTACAAACCTGAACTGGTAAGAGAAGCACAAAGCAATGGCCAATAAGAAATTGTATCTCAAAAGAAAAAAAAATATATCTCTAGGGAAAATGCCAGAAATGAATTAAAATGGTGGTGTTCATATCAGTCTTAGAGCAGAAAACCAGTGAATGTCTGTGTATACCAAAGTAGTTGCATTGGTTTACTTTCTGTTTGTTACTCTGCTTATAATAGGCAATAACTATAGCTATTCTTTATTGATTTGTAGCATCTTGTTTCTAACAAAACTTTGTAGCATGGAAAAAGTTTCCATCCACAGATACAAATGTGAATAAATATGTAAGAATGTTGGTATCGTGCTTTGTTTTCCTGAGTAGTCCCCTCATTTACTACCATCAGAAAATAATGTTCTTATGTGCTGCAGAAGCAAATGCTGAGCTAAATCACTTTAGACTTCTTATAGCCAGTAGAACTTGGGCCACTGGAAAGAATTATTTAGAGCACAGGGCAGACTTGCAGTGTTTGCGTAAAAAACACTAACTGGTCTAGGCAGCAGGATGCAGAAATCCTCTTCCCACTGTCCTCCAAGAGAACTGAGAATACATGTTTTTGTACCAGTGGGGTGTACTTCTCAACAAGGACAGGAAGGGACTTATCACTCTCATAGACATTTGCAGAAATTGGAAGACTTCTTTACTTCCAATTTACTGTTGACTAAGACTTGTCCACGTTTGGCTGGACACTAAGCACATGGTCTATAAAAGACAGCTTGGGACCAAAAATGAGGTCCTGAGCAAAAAAAGAAAACACCCCTCATGAACTCTTTTCTTTGGATTAATGGGTAGAAGCTGCAAACTCTACCACAATTAATGGCCCAATTATGATTTCTGAAACATATGTAATATAATGGTCCTTTTATAATGAAAAGTACTGCAGTCCCCTACACTGGGCTTGTTCACACAATTTGAAAAGCAGGCAGAAAGAAAACTCCTGATTGAGGGTGCTAAAAATACCCAGGATTTAATAAAATCAGTATTGTATTACTGGCTCAGTAGATATTTTGGAATGAGTGAATGATTGCCTGAATGGATGAGTGGTTGGATGGATGAATACATGGTAGGATAAAGGCTGGGATGAATGAATAAATTTCTGGATGGATAGAATTCCTGGTTAGTTATATAAGACACTGGATTTCTCCTTTCATAGCAAATAAATTCTGTGAAGTTGAACCCTTTTCTTTTTCACGGTCCCTTTAGCAACTTAAGAATGAATGCGGTCACATCACTGTCAGCAGTTTCTGGCTTTTAACCCTCATGATCCTGCATGCTGAGTACAGAAAATGGTCTGAGGTAAAGAGGCGAGTCTTTTACCATGGACCTTAGGACAAGCTGCTGCTTCTGTTCTTAAGGGACATGATGTAAGCTATTCAACCTCACCGCACTAAAGTGGGGAGGACAGTGGCCCTTCTAATGCAGACAGTCTGCAGTCATTCATTTGTGAGGGACATATTTTTCTTCGAAGCTTATTACTGCACCAGAACACACATTCTGTAAGAAGACAGCCACTCCAGTGATCTGTCCAAGAACATTCTTTGGATATGCATGTCTTAGTCTTCATTCCAAAAGGGTGGGGCAGTTCTCTGGAAACCAAATGGTGGATCTCTGAAGAGTGTTCCTTGGTGTGTCCTCACTGGCACCTTCACTAAGGGAGTAAAATGTTATCTGGAATTCTGGACAAATTAGACTTTCTAAGAAAAAGAGGAGGCAGAGTGTTCAGGGTCATTGAGTCTGGAACCAGACCTCTGCCACTCACTTGAGCAAGTTAATATAAGCCTCACTGCTCAGCTTTTAATCTATAAAACTGAGGTGATGAAGGTACAGCCTTCAAATAGACATTTTGGTCAAACTTGTGGTTAAATACATGTGAAAGCCCAAGAATTATGTCTTGTATGTATCAGACTGGATCCCAGGACACTGGGATCATGACCTCACCCAGGTGTCCTATAAAGATTTTTTTAAAACTTATTTAACGATATAATAATTATTATGTATTACTTATCAGCAAGTAGGCCGCCTCATACTGTTAGTAAGGCATTGCTCTGTTGTCTGAAGGGTTTGTGCTGATTCATTGGCCTCTCTCATCCCAGGATGTTTGTGAGGAAGCTGGGGTTAGTTAGGGATGTTGTCCGTGAGTGGGAAGCAGAGTGTGCAGTTTCTGGTAACATCTGAGGGTGGGTCGTGTCAGGCCTGAACAGGTTCCCATGTGCTCCTCCTGCTAGTTGACCCCTGTCTGTAGGCTCTGCACTTCTCTAGGGCCATTCCAGACCTTGGGCAGGAGGAATTTAGATAGCTCTTGTCCAACATTCTGGTCATGGTGGAGTCACATTACAAGTAATCTGTCCTGACTCTTTACCTTTTTGTGTGGCCCTCATCTCTGTAATGTAACCTTGCTGCTCTGGGTTCTCTCTCTCTAGGTAGAGATATCTGGCTGTACCCTTATCCTCCACTCCTAGCCCTAGGTCTTCTCAAATACTAATTAGGTAATTCGGGCTCTGCTACAGATCCCTGGATTTCCAAACTCCTCCTGCCTCCATGCCTGACATTCTGAGCATTTTGCTCCTACGTTTTGTGCCACCGTGCCTGTCCTATCCTCTGGAAACTTTTCAACCTCCTGCCTCTGCTGCTTACTGTTGGTGGAATATGTTGGTCTGTCTGTGACAATGGACTTTCTCCCGGTATCTAAAGCAGCCTATCTTCACCTCCAACCTCTTCCTGGTCATGGTACTGTTGCTTCATTTAAGAGGACAGGGCAGAAATGCTACCATGTTCACCAGAAGTCGTTTCTTCTACCCCCCTAAATATGTGGCCAGACTACAGTTTCCAGCCTCCCTTATAGTTAGGTCTGGTTACGTGACTGAATTTTGCCTGAAGGCATGTGAGTAGAAGGCTGTCCCATCCTCCTGTGATCCTCCATGCCCTCTCTCTCCTCCCTTACCTACTGGCAAGATACCAGGGTTTTGACAGAGGAATCCAACACCATAAAGGAAGACAAAGCCATAGGAGACAGATCCTAGATCCCTGAATGACCACATGGAAGGCTGCCTATTGACCGGGAATTGGACTTTATGTGAATGAGAAGTAAATTTTTATTGCCATTAGTTACTAAGATGATAATGGAGATGATGATGATGATGATGATGATGATGATTCGGGTATAGCATTGAGTGTTACCGTAGTTCATACAAGGGCCTGCCTCAATCCAGTTCTCAGCTATTCTCTTATTTCCCTGTCAAGTTTTGTTGCAACTGTCCAGACAGGCCTGATCTCATGTCTTTCAGAGAAAGGTACCTCAAATGCACATCTTTGATCTCACAAACACCAATGTTTAACTGAAATCATTGTATCCAACTTTTCCATATACCTTAGAGAATCTTCTAAGAACACTGATTCTTAGATTAGACCCCTTTGAATATTTGACAGAAACTACAGATCATTTCCTGGGGAAGGGGGGAAGCCCAATATACTTAAGAACACCCCCAAATTTCTGAGAATTCGTAGGACCCTGAAAGCCCATCCAAGGTTTCAGGATAAGAATCCCTGCCTCAGGAACAAATAATGGATAAAAGTAATTTTTTTAAAAAATGTGCATTTATTTGAGAGACAGAAAGAGCACAAGCAGAAGGGAAGGATAGAAGGAGAAGCAGACTCCCCACTGAGCAGGGAGCCTGATGAGGGACTTGAACCCAGGACACTGGGATCATGACCTCACCCAGGTGTCCTATAAAGATTTTTATTTATTTATTCATTTGACAGACAGAGATCACAAGTAGGCAGAGAGGCAGGAGGGGGGTGGGGAGGTGGGTAGGGAAGCAGGCTCCTGGCTGAGCAGAAAGCCTGATGCTGGGCTGGATCCCAGGACCCTGAGATCATGACCTGAGCCAAAGGCAGTTGCTTAACCTACTGAGTCACCCAGGTGACACCAGGTGTCCTATAAAAGTAGTTTTTAAACCAATCTTCTCAAACTGGGCTGTCCTCTCTTTAGTATTAGTTTAAAACATTCATGGGTTAATTCAGCTGCAAAAATCAGTCCATAATAGCAACTTAATGTTTCTGCTTTCGTATTTAATTATTTAATTTTGCCTTTCACTACTACTTTTTCTGGCCTGTTAGGTAGTTTTTCCTAAGGGAGGAAATACATTTGACACAGGACAATTTTTTGTGACAATGATTGTTCCAGATTCTTCTCTCTCAATTTCAGATTTTCTTTTCTTGCCACTTTAGTAGGTAGGCAATGTTGCCAGAGTTTGCCTGCAAAATAGAATCTTTGTGAATGAAAAATAAAGATTTGATGGACAGGACTTATTGGTGGGAAGTTTGTGTGCTTAACAACACCGGATAGAGAACTGTAGCTAGGAGCTCCTATTATAGGGTAATCACATGAAATTGTATCTGAGAACACTCTTATCTGTTCAGCGTAGTATTTCAGAAGAGAGAACCGCCTTTGTACATTCGAATAAGCAGATTGAACGGCTCTGTTGGGTCCATGGTCAAAGGAGTGAGACTGATACAAAGCGAAGGTCAAGCAAAGCTTTATTTCGCACCAAGCATCAAGAATCAAACTGACCGGCCAGGGACGTCTCTTGCAAAGAGGCGACGACCTTCTGCCTTACAGACTAGCTTTTAAGGGCAAAGGCCATGTGGTTGGGCCTGGCCATGCACAAGTGACCAATGAGATTGTAACACAGAGAAAGCTAGATCACACATAAGTGACCAATTGAATCACAATTTACCCTAGTAGATATTTGAACTAGCCTATCACCTTGGTCAGAATGAGCGCCCAAAAGGCACCCAAAGGGTGGGGCCCATACTCCTTGG